TAATTTCATAATTTTTATATATACGATATATAACTATATGTATGTATATATTTTCATCGAAGAAAGGAAAAATGTTATTTAAAAAGATTTCGAATTTTTAACTCTATTCCTGGCTTTGTGACTTCAATTCGTAACTTACAGTTTAATTGGTTCACCCATACACAGAGAGAATTTTCTTTTAGAATTTACCCTGAAAATCATGGTAACCTAATATAATATTATATTGTATAAAGAATTTTATAAGAGTTTCTCTAATTAATGTTTACCACAATAAAAATATTAATATATCTATCTATCTATCACAATAAGATATAAAATATGTTTGATTCATTTTACTATGTATATATATATATATATATATATATATATTATTTTTTATTGTGGTAAATATTAATCAGAGAAACTCTTCCAATATCATATTGTCCCACGATTACCATGATTTTCTAGGTATAAATTCTAAGAGAAAATTCTCTCGGTGTACATATATTTATTTCCTTTTACATTTTAATTTTCCAAAGAACGGACAGTAAATATTAGATCTATTTAAATAGACACGTCATGCTAGACAGGAATGCGAAAGGATTAAACTGCAATTATGTAGATTGCCTCTTCAAGAGTACTTTAGTGTTATAGGAACTTAAGAGAGATTTAGCGTATGCTTATAAGGACTGATCGATTAATTATTATTCAAAAGGGAAGAAAGACTGTACTCGTATAAATTTAGTTTAGATCAAAAGACTATAATTTTAGTCATTCGATAGCAGTGTTCGAGTGTGGCGTTGAAATGTGTCAATTCGCATTTCCAGCGACTGGATTGAACGTATCGGGAAATACCACTGAATGATTCTCTCCCTTGCTCGTATTCCATGATTAGCTAATAATTATGGACAATTAATATAGGAATAATTGTACGCGGAAAACAGGATCTGCTCACTTACAAAATATCACGTAATAACACAATTGAATTAAATGCTTTCGCGATTATTTTTGATACGGGGAAGTTCAAATGAATATTAGCTCAATTTTCTAACGAAGTAATATGTATCGTGATTATTCTTGATACGGGGAAGTTCAAATGAATATTAGCTCAATTTTCCAACGAAGTAATATGTATTAAAGCAGAAAATGTTCCATATTACATAATCACATTTTCAGTCTACATATAAATTCTTTAGTGTATTGATTTTCTCATCACTGATTATTATTTATGCTTGATCATTTTAATTTACCTATCAACGCAGCAATTGTAATGCTGCAATTACTCGTAATTTTTTTCATATTTAATGCGCACTATATTTGCTATGCGCGTACATACACGCATGTATATGTATATGTGGGTACATACGTAATGAAAATATTCACCGAATTGCTTGTATAATATATCGCGCTGCTTATTCGAAACGTTCACGCCAAAGTAAGAATGTTTGAATATTTTATTACGTACGATCCTCTTAAACGGAACAAAATTACGGAGCTCCGTTTAGGGGATGCCTTGATCTCTGGTGTTTCGTTAAATTTATTATGCGATTTATTTCCAGACGGTGGGACTTAATTCTTCATTTCTCGTAGATGTCTTTATCATAATTTTGAATTTGTATACGTGTATCATACATAACGAGAGCTAATTTACATTAATTGCTTTTCGCACCATGACTTGCATATATTTTTTTAAATATCGTATTCGAATAATTTATTGCATAACTTTGTAATTACATCAATGCAGCCTGCATCTTTTTTTAGCTTTTTTATCCAATTTAGCTTATACAAGCAACTAATGATATATCATTCAACGTAGCATGGTATCAAAAAATAAGTAGCTTAAATATATCAGTGACTTAATTCTTGGATACATTTCAGCTTTTGAATATTTTTGAAAAGTACCGACAGATAAATCTGAAACATCTCGACATCATTAGTTGCTTGTATAAGCTAAATTGGATAAAAAAAGCTAAAAAAAGATGCAGGCTGCATTGATGTAATTACAAAGTTATGCAATAAATTATTCGAATACGATATTTAAAAAAAATATATGCAAGTCATGATGCGAAAAGCAATTAATGTAAATTAGCTCTCGTTATATATGATATCCCGTATAATTTGCATTGATTCATTCATCATGTCCGATGCATACAATACGATGTAAGTGTTGAGCGCATCATTCGTATATAACTCATCAACAAGAAGTGAGAAATTAAATTAATAGTAATCACACGCGCGTACTGTCACAACACTGCAGAAAACCGCGAATAGACAAACCGCACCCGCAAATGTCGATAATGCGGTCACTAACATATTCTCTTGACTGCGAGTAAAATCGCTAAATGCCGAATACCAATGAAAAAAGTCTGATACTTTTTTATCTCATCATGTATACATTTTTCATCCAACAATAATGTGGATTTTTTGCACGAAGATGATTCTTATGAAATTTAGAATTAATTTTGCTTTAATAAAAAACAATATGAATATTGGTGTTTGTGGAAAAAATGTTAAAAATTATAAATTTCTTTTTTATTTCTCTTTTTTATATAGTCTTCCATAATTAACGTTTTCCTGATAATATTCAAAATAATTCAGGATATATATAAGTAAGTATTTCGTGGATTGAAATATTAAATTTAATTCGGTTTTCACTTTTTGCATTTTTTATTGATCCTATTTGTCTCCATTGAACTCTTAAAGTTATCAACTATTTATTAGATAGTAATCTCTTTAAATTATTATAGATTATAAATTATATTAATTATTATAAATGATAGATTGCACTGTGCAAGCTCTATAATATTAATATTCAATTATTATCAACGTGCATCAAAGACATTTGCGTGTCAAATGAATCAGAATTATTTTCACAAATGCTCATATTATTCATATTATTCACATTATAGTGTGCACACAGTGGCTTGATATTATAAAGTATAATTCTCTAAGCATCTTTAATTCTCTATAAACATAATTTTTTATATTTTCAATCGTAATATATTTCTACAAAATCGTTTACAAATATTATCTTTCAACTTACTTAAAACAATTTAGCAACACAGAAAAAAAGGAATCCTTGATTCAAGTATATTTTTATTCTTGAACGCTATTTGATTGATTTAAGCATAGAATGCTCTTTGTAATCACAAATTTTCATTTGCCTTAATAATAAATAAGTTTGTGTAAAGTATATTTTATCCTTAAGATATATTCTTGTTTTAAAAATCGTATATGGTAAAAACAAACTTATTGTTAGTCACATTTGAACTAAGAATTATTATATTTATTTGAAAGTACCGCTTATATCCGATGCACACTTGTCACTTGTCCTTGCAATATTTATAAGTAAATTTCAGCTTCAACCAAGAATATTTTGCACTTTGTTTTAAGGATAAATTATCCTTTATCCAAAATTATTTATATTTGGTGCTATTATAAGGATAAAATATACTTGAATCAAGGCATATTTGCATTCTCTCAAGGATACTGTTTTTTCTGTGAAGGAATATCGTAAATGTAGCGCGGAATATATATCGTTATTGAGCAAGGCTAACGAAGGCGGGTTAGCACGTGTGGTGTTTTACATGAATTGCGTAAGTACTTAGCGATTTGCATATTCTGCATTCGCGAACGGGCTAATTCAATCGGCACTCGCCCACAGAAAAAAAGGTATCTTTAAAAGAATGCAAATATGCCTTGATTCAAGTATATTTTATACTTAAAATAGCACCAAGAAGAAATCATCTTGCATAAAGGATAAATTATCCTTAAAACAATAGTGCAAAATATTCTTAATTGAAACTGAAATTTATTTCAGTTTAAAGATAAAGTTGCGGTCCTTCAACGCTAAATATGCTTATAACAATATAATTTTTTCTTCAATGAAGTTTTTATTTATTTACTTTAAAGAAATTAAGGTTTATTCTAATGCGGTATTTTTTTTTATATTAAGACTAATATATTATTACATTTAACCGATTAGAATAATTAAATAATTCATATTTTCAATAAAATTATATTATTAAATAATTTAATAACAAATACAATTACAATTAATAAAATACAATTACAATTAATAAAATACAATTACAATAAAATTTATATAATTGCAATTTACTAGTAGTATAAGCTGTAGCTTTAATACATTCTGCTTGTTGTCTTTTATCTTGATTTCTTGAAGCTAACAGTACATCTCGTCTGTACTTTGATATTATAGTCCATTTTCCTTCTACTTTATTCCATGGTTCATGTACATTTTTCAGCCAATTTAAGGCTGTTTTTACTTCATTTGAGGGTTCAATTTGAACATCTGCATACAAGAAGTAATGTATTAAGAAACTAATTTACCATAACATAAAGCTATCTCAACAATGACGTTAACCTAAATCACACTGACCGTTAAAAAATTTAATAGAAGATACAAATTACATATATAACCTGAAGAAATTAATTACAAGTAAACAAAATATGACAAACATAAATATGTAATAGCAATATGAAGCAAATAAAAACCTTTTTCTGTGGCAGATAAATTATGAGTATTTTTTTTAGATGCATGAACTCTAGGAAGGAGATTTTTCTTCCTCATCCATTCTTTCAAATTTTTAGTTCTATCAAAAAGTTTTCCTCTTGCAAGACATTGATTTGTCCCTTCTTCTTTTGGAGCAATATAATAAACATTCTAAAATATATAAATTAATAAAGTAATTGAAAGATTTATATGAAAGATTAACATATGGAAGTGAAACTGAGCACTGTATCTCTTCATTTGTAAATAAAGTTAAAATCTTGTCTTTCAATATAATTAACTCAGGTTTTTTGGGACTATAAACAGAAATTTAAAAAATAAAATTAATTTGAATAAGCCTTTTAAAGTTTTTCAACTTACAAATAAAGTTTTTCTTTTTAATCAGAAATTTCTAATCAGAAGCAACACAAACTTTATTAGTACATAAATAAGCAAGAAATAATTTTGTAAAAATGTCTATAATAAAAAAAACTTACTGAGTAAAACGGAAAAGCAGCCATTTAACAATAATGTCTACAAGAGCTGTTCGATCTTCTTCTTCCAAACACTTATTTTTTTCGTAAATTTGAAGGACAGCCTTACCCTCTAAAGACTGCTCAAGAAGTTTCTTTAAATCCTGTTAATAGCAATAATAAAGTTGCTTAAAATGTTCTAAACAATAGTAATTATAGTAATTTTACACAATAGTAACAATAGTAATTTTTAAAAATCTGCACTTTTGATGTAAGGATTTGATAAAATTATAAACTTGACCTTCAAAATTGAATTGAAATTAAATGTACCAAAGTCAGTAAAAAATAATTGTTAAATAATTAATTTATAAATATATATAAAACAAAAATAATCAACTTTACAATATTTTGATTATTACTTTGATAATGTGGATGTATAGAAAAGCCGAAACCTCAAGATGAAAGTGATGTGATTCAGTTAAGTAAACAATAAAGCTAAAGTAAATATCTAATACTTACTAAATTCATTAATTCATTACAGGCACTAAAAGTAGAGATTCTTGTTTCAGCAAGCATGTTTGGATTAACAGTTTTCTTTTTCTTAACTGAAGTTGGATAATCTGTGTTAACTTCATTCTGTCTTTTTTTTGTTTGGACTTTATTTAAATTTTGGGCATCGAGTGATTTTGAATCTGATAATTCCATATCCTAATAAAATCAAAGAAAATAATATAATATAATATAATATAAAGAAATATAATATAAAATAATATAAATAATATAATTTATAAATAAAATAGACTAAGCTTTTTTAAACTAAAAAAATTAGAAAAATGTATATATGTTTATCCACTTTAATACTTTCATTAGTATAATAATATCTTGTTTCAATTCAAATATGTCAACACTATAGAATATTCAACATTACATTTCAAAAATAAGCATGATCTCATAAATTTTATTAATAGTATAATACTTACATCATTATCTGAATAGTCAGAAACACTGTCAGACTCTGTAGAATAATTTGAACATTCTGCCTGATTTATTTGTTTTGACTCAATTTGTCTTTTTATTTCAGTGCTATTTACATTATGGACTGAAAATTTTGTTCCTTTATAAGAGTTTAAAACCATTTTCTGTAAGAAAAAAAACCATTTATTATTTAATCATCATCATGTACACAACCAACATACGTACAATTAATCATCATACGTACACAATTAACATACGTACAATTAATCATCATACGTACAATCAACATACGTACACATTAATTTCTATTATAAATAAAATAAAATTAATAAATCTAAACAAATTTTATCATTTGTTTTAAATTTCAAAATCAAAACGTTAATTAAATAACTATTATACACAATGAATGTTAACCAACACTACGTTTTGAGAAATGTATAAATAAGAAAATATCTTACCTGAAGTTCGACTTTATTAGTATTTTTTTTCCATTCAACATATTTTTTCCAAAATTTTAATTGAATTCCTAAAGGAAAATCCTTCAATATCTCTTTTACATCATTCTCATTAATTCGTAAAAAAACATCAACATCTATTGCTTTATCTGAAATAAAATTTTAGATTATTTTACAAAAAAAGCTATTTTTTAAGAAGTTTAGTAACATTTATAAATAAACATTAGATTTATTCTTATATCCATATATTCTTTCATAATAATTGTAGCTAAAAGTCTAATACATTTTTTAATTTTGTTCGCGATCATTAACCTTCGCTTGGCGGTGGTCAAATCATTTGAAACACAAAATCTGAATCTTTGCAGTAATAAAAGACAACGTCGAACTAATATTTTTGCAGTCAATATAAACACAGTGACAAAATAAAATATAAAAATTCATACAGATCACGGAGACTTGATCATCATGGCTGCTGCCTGAAGGTTATATACAGGGTGTCCCATTTAACTTGAGACAACTAAATATTTCGAAAAATAAGCATTGTACGAAAAAATGTCCCAAATAAACTTTTAACATTATCAAGGGGGACGTCTGCCTGTGTAAAAATTAACCCACCCCCACCGCCCCTTAGGGGTGGGGCGGGTGTCAACTTTGAAATTTTAAATGGAAACCCCCATTTTTTATTGCAGATTCGGATTCCTTGGAAAAAAATACGTAAGTTTTGTCCGAGACATTTTTTCGAATCGCGATAGATGTAATCAGTAAAAATTAGTTTTTGCCATTTTCTCTCACCATCGGGGTGCTTTTATTTCGGTGAGTCCCCTCGCCTCTCACCATCGGGGCGCTTTATTTCGGTGAGTCCCCTCGCCTCTCACCATCGGGGTGCTTTATTTCGGTGAGTTCCCTCGCCTTACTTATTATTGAGGCAAATACAAATTTCGAATTGCAAAAAGCATTTTATGCTTAAATCAATCAAATAGCGTTCAAGAATAAAAATATACTTGAATCAAGGATTCCTTTTTTTCTGTGCCGATATCGGCGACCGCAAGTGTGTTTGCGAATTCGATCGATATACGTTTAAAATATCAACGCGTGACTGACTCGACGTCGAACCTACTTAACTTTTATACTTGGGATGTGTCAGAATCAGATTGATTATTTGTCGATTATTCGAAAAGCAATATGTGAACGATATAAAAATGTTTTACACGAGAAATTGTTCCGAATATAATCTTTTATCATCTATCGTTCTAGTTTCTCGTTTTATAAAAATATATGAATTTGACAGCTCTTCGTTTTATTTAATACTCTGTATCTAACATTATTCGATATTTGAAGTAATCATTTTTTATACGAGTTAATTGTGTTAAATGAAATAATAAATAACACAATTCTGTTCTCGTTTTGTGTAAAAATAAATCGTGACAATACAAAGAGATATTTTTGCATTGATGTACAGTGGTCCAGAATTATAAAAATTATATACCGACTTTTAATCGAGGAAACCTCGTGATGTACGAGGAAAATATGAAGGAGGATATTTCTGTTATATTCCGTAATATTTTATAATTATTTATAAGTATGGGTTAAGGAAAGTATAAATCATAAACGCTATTTTCAGAAAATCATTCATAGGGTGTATCGAAATTTTTCAAGAGAAACATTTTATAAGTCTTTAATTCATTATGACTATAGGACTATGATGACGACATTATAACTATCACTATATAATTAAATTAAGAATCCCTCCCTTTAATAAAAATAAAAAAAAACTTTTAATAATTTAATTTTCTGTTTTCAATTATTACGAAATATATATATAAAATACTTACTTTTATCATAACCATGTAACAATAATATTCTACAAGCTGCTATGTGTAATAATGTAAAACAAAATACATGATAAATTTAATGTTCTTACTCTTTACAGCTATTCGTTTTTATCTTTATCTCACAATTAATCGTATAAGTACATATACGATAAAAAATAGAATAAGAGGAAGAGGGAAAGATATTATTAATATAATTATTTGAGAAAATTACACAAAATTATATACATCAAAAATATCAGTTCTGCAGACACACCCTATATTTTGAAATATATAGTTGAGGAAAATATTCCGTGCTTTTTCTCTATAAAATTGTCTCGTGCTTAGAAGCAGCCCCTATTCAGGCGTTTTCTATCTCCGACACGAACGCAACGCACGATTCGGTGTGAAGGCAGCTTAAGGGTGCCGGCAAAGGGTGGCGCGCTAATATCGGGGCGCGGTGGTACTGCGGCCTGGGAGCCGCTCTCTCTCTCTCCCTCTTTCTTTCTCTCGTTCTCGCTCTAACCAGCTCTCTCTATCTATCTTCCCTTCTCTCACCCTATCTCTCCACGTCGGCATCTATCGACCCACCCCCGGCAACGGTGGAGCTTCCACCGCCCCGGAAAGCTTCCGCGCGTACACGTCCGTCGATTCGGGCTTTTCCCTTCGCCCGTGTACGTCGAAGAAGAAGGGTGTCGATCGTCGTCGTCGTCGTGCCTCTTCACAGGGCGGAGCAGCCCTTACGCGAGGAGGGCGTCGTGGAATCCACCGGAAGAACAACTTGACTAGAGGGTTAAAATAATGAAATATAATATCGCGCTGCTTAACATCATGCTCGAGTAAATTCGAAATTTTTACGAACGAGAAATTAGGATTACGCAATAATTAAAGTATTGCGGAATGTAAAATAGAAAAAAAAAATTGTTTACCACACTGCGTTATGCGAATATGTATATATTACAAAAATTGTAAAATTGTGTAGGAAAAAAATGGTTCGCAACGATGTAATAAATCCTACGTTATGGCGCAACATGCAGCAACGTGACATAATTCGTTATGTCAAATCGACTGCATTTAAAAAAGAAAGTTTTTAAATTGTTCTATACATATATATATATATATATATATATATATATGTATGTATGTATGTATGTATGTATGTATGTATGTATGTATGTATGTATGTATGTATGTATGTATGTATGTATGTATGTATGTATGTATGTATGTATGTATGTATAATTTATTCATTTGGTTACTAGTTTTTATTTTCACATATTTGAATTTTATCAGAATTAAATCTGAATAATTAAATCTAAAAATTAAATCGCGAACATTTGGATATTTGTACGTCTATTAAATATACTCGAGATAAAAATATGAAACTGTTCTACATAGATTTACATAAATATTTTTTTAGATCGAATTCCCGCCACTGGCGCATTAATATTCGACACATATAAAAATTATTTTTTCACGTTGTATAGTTTTGCATAGTTTTCGCATTTTCGTAGAATTATTTTGAAAGAAGCTAAGAGAGAAAAGAATATACCATTGTAGGATTAATTCTAGTTACTTAAGTCATTTTCTCTCTTCTACGCGTGTTTCCGATCCGTTGTGTCCTTGGTACGTGCGTGTATGTGTGTGTGTGTGTGTGTGTGTGTGTGTGATAATCGTACAAGATATCATCTCTCGAATACTATGCTCGAACTTGTCGAGCAAGGAGAATGGATACTTTGGTATACTACGATCATTCCTAGCAACCTGTTTTTAGAAGGAAAACAAGGCAATGAAGATAAGAAGGATAAAAAGAGATGTCTCTTAAATTAATCATCTTAAATGCCATGTCCGTCTGAACCTCTCACCTGTACATTTTTTGAATATGTGGCGTAATTTACAATTCATATCGTCTATTTTAAACATTTTTTGTACACTTATTCGTTTCTTTTTACATCAATCTGTAAAGATGTCATTGAAAGAGAACCTTGAGAAATTATAAATTTAAATTTTATGATATCAAAGATTGCAAGGATATTGATTGGTATAGTACGCTTTTATGCGAATCTTAAAAGATTTATCGTTGATTGAAACCGTAAAATGTAAAACGGCACAAATCCATTACTTGACAAATCCATTACTTTGGGTATGAATTATTGATATCATTGTATCTACGTACAAATTAATTAAGTGGATGTAAATTTTATTAAAGACAATTTTATCATTGATATAATCGGAGAAATTTTATCTAAGTATAGATGAGATTAGATTTATATATCGAAGAGAGAAACTTTGTCATCTTGAAACCTTGATTCGGAGATTGGTTTGGGTATCGCGATCTTTATCGAACTTGCGATTTTTAAAGATATGAAAATGAAAAAAAAAAAAAAAAAAAAAAAAAAAGTGAAATCGTAATGCATTTGTCATCCGATCGGAATTTCGATAAGCGGAGTCAGCGTACTCTTTCGCGAAGGGAATGTAATTCCATAGGGGGTTGAGTTCCTCCCTCTTCTCTCTCTCTCTTTCTCAGTTGAACGAGAGAATTCTAGTTCTATTGTAGTTACATCATTGAAGGAATACCGGAAGAGAGCCTGGGTTGCGTGTCGGTTCTCATTCATTCATTAACCCGCTCTTCGCTCGCTTCTGCTCCTGGCTTTTCCTTTTTGCGTCAAGAGTCGATTTGAATCGCGAGACTTGGCGAAATCGCTGCCAACAACGTCCCATGTCTCGACACAATTAGAGAATGTCAGCGCAAACTAATATTAACCCGTATTAGTATTCGAGCTACGAATACGCATCGCTGAACATTAAAATGGAATCTGTCGATCATTTTTCGACAAGTTTTTGTTTCTTTCTTCATTCTAAAAATATTTAAGCATCAGTATTTTAAAGAAAGAACAATTTGACGGTAAAATTAATTAAGCTAATATCTAATTTATGTATACTCTTTATTATTCATTACTCTTCATTAATTTGTTGTGAATTGAAAATTAATCATTTCTCTAACATTTAGATATCGTATTTTTATCATACGATATAAAATAGAAATATAAACAACTGAGTAGAATATATTTTAAAAACTTAACATGTATTGTATGATAAGTTTTATGGAAAAATACTCGGCGGTTATATATAAGTATGAGTCATTCAATTAATTATGCACCTTAATTAACTGCATTGTGAATTGTATACGCTAACGCAAGAAGCGAGAAGATTAGCGCGCGATGCAGTTATCATGATGTAATCATCGTTGACATTGATCGGTGATAGAGCCGTAACTTGGCGAAGATACAGACTTCAAAGAGAGTCTTAAGCGCCTAAGCAAACAAGCACGACAAACGCACTGTTCCCGTATCGTATAATCGTGCTGTTGTTGCAGTTTCGAACAATAACTGACAGGGATTTAAGCGAGTCGGGACTCTACGAAATTGGCGAACGCATTTTAGATTTTTCTTGAAAAAATTAACAAAATTCACATATTTTCATAGACCTCTTGAAAACAAAGGTTTGATATACACTGAAAAAAATATTTATGTAAAATTACATGATTAAGCTAGGTTTTTTCTGACCCAGCATAATCATGCAATATTGATATCTACTTACATGGAAGATTACAGATCATATATAATTTCATATGAAATATATTCTTAAATATTTTCAAGATTAAAAATATTTCACTGGAACATGTAATTACACATAGGAAATGTTAGGAATGTATAAATGCTATAAAATAATGTTATAAATAAAATAGATATATACTTATAAAATAAAATTCTAATTAAGTAAAAATGGTAAATTTAAAATTACATATGATTTGTGCATAAAAAAAATAATTTTGCCTATATTTTACATGCATTTTTACATTAATATGTATTTTCACTTTAAAACAAATGGAAAAAAAATTACAGTGATAAGCAAATAATTTTTCCAGTTCTGAGCTAGTAATTTCCATGTAAAAGTACATGGATTTTTTTCAGTGTATATCAAACTAAACATAACGACCGGAAAGTAATTTGAAAAATAGATTGAGCCCGGTCTTTTGTAAAAACGATACGAAATTATATCCAAAACAGAATTTTCTAATTATTTCACACCGTGTATCATTTTTTTTTACTTCATTTAAAAATAATATATCTAAAATCTAATCGCGGGATATTTTCAATTCGTCCGATCCGTCCGGGAAAATAATCAACAAGTAAAAGAAAATTCCGTGGATTTCTACCAACAAACTTACAATTACTTCTCACTGTTTTTACGCGGGGTTGTTTTTTTTCTTCCCTTTTCTCGTGGCGCAAAGTCACTTTCAATCGAAGCGAAGGGTGTCCCGTGCATTTTTTCGATTGATGACACACGCCCGTCTTTTTTATCGATAAAGGCGTACCCCTGTATGCCCGGTGGCCTTTTTGCATCCTCATTAAGGCGGAGAAAGGCGTGCTTGTGGGCGCGCGAAGCGTCTTTTCTTGGCGACGCGCATAAAAAGCTCTCTCGCACCCAGGTTGTCCCTCGCGTGCACGAAGATCGATTCAGGTTACGCGAGCTTTGCACGCCCAACATTATTACACAGCTAGAAAGTAACAAACACACTCCCCCTCCTCTTTTATCTAAATGAAATCGAGAGCAATTCTCAGAAATATATGCTACCTGGAAATCTGTAATCCTCCACGATCGCTTATAATTAATGAGAGATCTACTTCGACGAAGTTGGAAACAATTTCGTGGAAAACTATATCGATTAAAATATATTCGTAATATAAATATTTCACCTGAACAAATAATGTGGTGATTAAATTCAGATTTAAAAAGTTACAAAGTTACAAAGAATGGAAATTGAAGGGTTGAGTTACAAGGATGAGCTGAATTTATAATTTGTGAGGTCCACTCCTTCACTTCGTATTTAAAGTAGATCTTTCGAATTATTGATTTACCTCGTTCTTTTTTTATCGAATCTTGCGACTTTGAAGAATCCCACTTGATCTTTAAATGCACAATCGTGATTTTTTTGAAGTTTTAATTTTTTTTATAAATGAAAATATAAATTTTCTGAATCATCTATAATGTTTTATTCGAAAGCTTGCATGCGTATCTTATGAGTCAGAAAGGATTAAACACACTCATATTTCTCTCTGAACTGTGTCCAAGCTTTTTGGCAACCGCACTTTTTGGCAACAGCAGCAATTTTCAAGGAATTTTTAATTTATTTATTACTAGCCGGAAATGAGTAACTTAATTATGTATTACGTTATTACATTAATATGTTCAAAACAATTTCTTCATTTCTCCAATATTATTCTATATTGCTTGTCAAAAATATATCCAATATAAATATATATTATCATTAATTTAAGGAGATCTTTATTTTATCAATTAATGCAATCTTGAATGTATTTTACTTCTCATGATTCGTCTTGTATACAATAACATCTTTTACATAGTAATTTTAATCAAGAGATCAACGATAAGGTGAAGGCCTTGAATAACTAATAAATTCCTAGAGCATTATTAGCGCACAATACAGAGAAAATATAAAATATTAGGAATAGGAATTATTTCAAAATAACAAAGTCGATATACAAATTTCTGATATACAAATCCAAATTCGAGTATAAAGAGAGCTCTTACTAATTCTTTATGCAAATATATCCGAATTTGTATTTTTATATTAGTCTTTTTGATTTGATTTTATTTTACAATTATTTCTATTATCCTAATATTTAATTTTCATTCCATATTTTCTCTATTGTACTTATACAAATCCTGCCCAATAGAGGAATATTAAATAAATAAATATTAAATATTAGGAATAGGAATTATTTTAAAATAATAAAATTGAAAAAACTGATATACGAATAAAAAGCTCTTATATACTAGTTTATTAAACCCTTATAAGTTCTTTATATTCGAATGTATATTTTTATATCAGAATCCTTTGCATTTTCTTATTGAAAAATAATATTCTTATTCTCAATATGACATATTTATCCCTTATCTTTTCCCTAATTGTGCGCAGGGCCTAAGAAGGCTCTACGTGTCGTGTCGAGCGCGCGGACGCGTTTCATTCATGATTTCGCGAGGAAACGCGACGATGTCGACGAGCGCCACCTACACCCGGACGTTCCCTCACCCCTTCGCGGTCGCCGGCCACCCTCCGTCTATCCTCCAGCCGGCGTAGCTACCCCATCGGGAGCGGGCAATCTTCGCGCGATTTCCGTATCGCGCGAGTAGCGAGGGATATATGACGTCGCGCGAACGTCGTCGTCGAGAGCTGGTGGAAGCGCGACGCGAAAGTCATTGACAATTGTTTGCGACGAACATTTACGCGGAATTATCATGCGGAATTAAATATGACGAGCTCTTGAACTTTACTGCGTGTGAAGGTTTAACGCATAATCGTGCATCTCGTTAATTTATATGACATTGTTTCACGCCGATTACTATGGAAATGTATAATAAATATCAGCAGTAAATACTTGATTATTTTATGTACAATTTCTGCATCGTAACTTTTTATTTTCTTTTTTAATTTTTATTTTATTATGCGAAAGAAGCGCGGTTTTTGGAGTCAGAAAATATATACTCAAGATGGTTTCAGCTTAAAAGAGACTCATTCGTTTACTATGACAGCGAGCTAATCGAGACCGAAACTTTGTTCCAGGAACCGGCGAGTCGGGCAAATCCACGTTCATTAAGCAGATGAGGATCATCCACGGTTCCGGCTACTCGGACGAGGACAAAAGAGGGTTCATCAAACTTGTGTACCAAAACATTTTCATGGCGATGCAGTCTATGATCCGGGCGATGGACCTCCTGAAGATCCAGTACGGCGATTCTTCGAACATAGTGCGTAAACATTTAGAATTTTGCTTTGCAGTAAAATGTCGAATTAACACTTTGAAGTATCTTAAATATTTAAAATGATAATTTACGTACATATAAAACTTATATAACTTTCTTATCAGAAGCATTATATCTTTCAACTTCCTTCAATCAATTTACTTATTTTTATTTTATTTTGTATTAATTAATTTCGACGTATCTTAAATATTGAAGAATAAGAATTTTTTATTTAACGTCCTTCAATTAATTCCTTATTTTAAATTAATTTAATTTTCTGCATATTTTCTGAGGTCTATCGCGCGCTACCAAATATTCACGATTACATACAGGAACTACGCATTTAAGAATTAATTAACCGTGCAATTAATGATAACGTTGTGTATCGCATGCTGCGTTTCCGGAGAACTCCACTGACGTTTTCTCTCTCCTTTTAGGAAAAGGCGGAACTCGTGCGAAGCGTAGACTTCGAAACGGTGACGACGTTCGAGAGCCCATACGTAGAGGCAATTAAGGACCTGTGGTCGGACGCCGGTATACAGGAGTGTTACGATCGCAGACGGGAATACCAGCTCACGGATTCAGCCAAGTAGTGAGTATATTTCGGCTGCAGTGTGCCGCGTGGGCGGCGCATTCCCTCGTCTACTACGTGTCTTATCGCCAGCCGAGAAGGTGTGATTATTTCTCGTTCCTTTCCCCGCCTCTAACATCGGCCTGAAGTCTTTCACGTAAAATCCATATAGCCGCTGATAGAGGATGACTCAGGTTCTTACCGCTCAGGCTCTGCCTCCTCTCTTTCTTTCGATTTTTCCTTTCACAGGAGCGTTCAAAACGCCGATCTAAATTTCTTTCGCTATAAAATTATAAACAGAGGTCCGATGTAAATTATACGCGAGTGAATTGCCCGGGATCTTCGTTTAATTTCAAGTTCAGTTTAATTAGCGACGAGATTTACGGCATAATGTCCGGAAGCTGTGAAAGGAGATTGATAGTATTTGATCAGAATCGCGTTATAAAAATATCGACTTTGGAAACTAGTTCAAAAGTTCATCGGAAGAAAGAGTGGAAAACCTGATATTATCCTGTGATTCGTTAAAACAGCTGATAAATTACATCCGAAAGATATAGGAATTTTTGAAAAATCATGAAATATATATGACAATTGATAGAATATATTACATTAATAAAAGATTGTATATTTATATTTTTTAAGATTTGACTTAATAAGGACAGTATTATTCGCGTCTAATAATATAGTCCATGTCTTAGTCACTTAATTGATATTCGATAGCCGCGAAAATTCAGTTATTAATTCTTGGCGAAACTAAGAAAACGAACTTGAGATTACGCTATAATGAAAGGTACGTGAAGGAAAAACATCCTAGATTTCGCGAATGTAACAAGAGATTCGATATTCTTATTTTTATTCTCTTTTTAATTTTAGAATAAAAATACATTTATCAAAGAAAATTAGAGTTGGAACCTCAAGTAGCGAGGTCTTCATTTTCGGAGCCTTTTCTTACGCGCGCTCGCGTCCTCTTTCAAGTTTCTCGCAATTTCTCTGATATTAACGCGCGCACCGGATACAGATTTAATTCTCTCCCGCGATAGCTTCCGCTCTCCTTCCTTCCCGTCCACCCTCCGTCTTCTTCCCGTACACCAGGTATTGAGAACACGATGTTTCAGTTACCTAATGGAGATAGATCGAGTCGCGGCACCAAACTACCTCCCCACAGAACAGGACATTCTTCGTGTGAGAGTGCCCACCACCGGTATAATTGAATATCCCTTTGACTTGGAAGAGATCCGATTTAGGTATGTGTACCACTCGCCGGACGACGATGATGATGAGAGGAGAAGCTGCCTGCCTGTGCCTGCAAAACCACCCGCATCATCGGGCCGTTTTCTGCATCCTTTGTCTTCTGTGATTTATATTCGCGCTGCACCTGGGATTCGTTGTCCGATTAAGTGTTGTTCGCCTGTTTTCCCCAACCCGCTGTTGCTCGAGTCCTGCGGCTTTCTTCCGTTAAACGAGGCGATTTATAAGATTCTCAGAATTGTTACAAACTATCGCGCCGTCCTTATCTCTATTTATCAATTGATCGATCGTATCACGTAGATGGAAATCTCCCGACTCCTTCCCGTTTAATTACGTTCGATCGATACTGCTTAATAAATTGTAATCTCTTTTTCTGACATTAAAACTTGCGGATATAATTAGCTTTATTTTGTCCGGGACTTGTAAATATGAACGCAATTAGATTTGCTCTACATATTTAAAAAAAAAAACTAATTTCGAATACAGATTGCATATCCCGGAAATAAAGAAAATAAAATGCAAAACAAAACATATCAAAGCCTCAGGACTCAACATCGGCGTTAAAAAAACTCTTTCAGGCTGAGCCCATGGACGAGCATGTGTGAGAGCTGTTTTATATATGTTTTTCGACCCCCCATTTGGTTTTACGATTTTTATATATATCTTTATATTTTTTAAATGTACCCTACGCATGGCATGCACTTGCAGATAGAGGCTTTTGTTTCGTTTTACAGTTATCTTAGTGATCTAGAGCGTATCGAAAAGCCTGATTTCCTTCCGACCGAGCAAGACATCCTCCGGGCACGAGCTCCTACCACCGGCATTATAGAATATCCGTTTGATCTGGACTCCATCATATTTAGGTACTAATAGCTATTCAATTCGATTATACATCTGCAAATACTCGAGAGTCTTTCAGCATCACGAAAATATATTCATATATAAGGGAGCAATGCGAACTACATAAAACCTTCTTCTTTCATTAAAAAGATGTATAAAATATATGAAATGTATATTTTTTCATGTATGTATATATCTTGTACCTTTACTTTTTAAATCCAGAAATTTAGAAACTTTAGAATTTAGAAACTTTTAAACTACACCGTATATAATGAAATTTTTATACTTTAATTTTAAGCAGACTAATAGAATTTTAATTTAATTGTTAATAAATCTGTTAATTAAAAGGATTTTAAAGTTAATTATACAATTGAAAAACGGTGGAATAGAAAGTCTATAATTTATTCATACGTATAATTTGTATGTACCATTATATTCTTGAATAATGTTTAACGAGCTTCGATGTTGCATGTTTTTTTTTTTATATATGTTTTAAATTTATTCAATATTGTACTAATATTATTGCATGTGTGGTATTATATTGATGTTAAAAACAATGATAAATTATTAAATTAAGGCCATGTGTAACGAGCAATACGATATTATTTTATTATTGAGAAGAAAATTCTTAATTTGAAATAATAATTATACAAACGTTTCGAGCTCTACTTGCTCCTCTTCAGTGCGCAAAAAAATAGTGATAATAAATAACGATAATAAATAAATACATAAAATTCTAATAAAAAATCCGCAATACATAGTCAATATAAGTTATATAGTGGAGTCATAGTTAAAACGCAAAATATATTTACAATGAATTGAGACCATTAAAATAGTTCAACAAAGTAAGAACCCAATTAGAAGCAGAATGATTCGTCCGGTTATTCATAAAATATATTAGAATTATTAATAAAAACTTGGAGTGACACTTATACATTACTCCAAATGAACCACTTATCGTTATTTGACGAAAGTCCCTCGATCTGGCAATGATTATGTTCATCCTCTCCAAATTATTTGATATTTGTTAAAAATTGTTCCGAATAACTTGAGATGACGATGCTTCTAATTGTTGTTGGCCTTATTGATGTTAATTATAATTGGATAATGATTGTGTGAGAATAATGAGCATATGCCTTTTTATTATGAATGTATTAAAATAATTTAGCGTACATAGATTATTATGAAATAAATTAGGAAAATCTCTCCTCCAATTTAATAAATTAGGATGAATTGGGTCACGAGAGAAATCTGTATATACATATTTTTCTCATTTTTTTAGAAACTTTTATTATATAAAAAATGTAATTCAGATATAATAACACCATGATTTCTTTTCATCCTTAAATAGGAGTCTTTTCTAACTTGATTAGAGGTTCTTAATCACGCAAATGGTCAATAAAAAAGGCACAAAGCGAACCTCCCCTTGTCTTTTGTTTGCATCTTTATTGAAGGCTATAAAAAATTCTAAAGTATAAAAGATGAAGAGCATCGCGCAGTGGATGCGTGCTCGCAAAAGCGATTCATTGTATGTGATTCGCTGCTAGAGTATCTGGCTGACGATTTAAAGACCACTTAATTCGTCCTATGATCCAATTCATTCTATGTGTTTTCTTATCAATGTCCACAAGCGCGTAGAAACCAGTTGATAGATATTTTTTGGCAGTCGGAATAATCTTCAGTCGAATCTCGGTATTCTTTATCCTTTATTTTTAATCACTTCTTTTCTTTTGCTGTTATTTCATTTTTTGCCACGTGTATACAATGAGAGATTATTTTATTTATTATTAAAAAAATATATTTTGACTTGATCTTTTAGCACAAATAATTCTGAACTAAATTCCAAAATAATACGTATTACGAGATATGATATTTTCCTCCGTATAATTTTTTATATCAATTTTAAATCCACATTTTAGAAAATTTTAAATTTTCCTAAAATATCGATATATTATTTTAAATTAAAAATACGAATTCGACTGTACATTTCTCTTTTTTTTTACACGCTATTAGCAACAAAGTTCAACTGACTATTAATTGCAGGATGGTAGACGTCGGTGGACAGAGGTCGGAAAGAAGAAAGTGGATCCATTGTTTCGAAAACGTCACTTCAATTATATTTTTAGTAGCTCTAAGTGAATATGATCAAATTCTATTTGAATCGGAAAACGAGGTAATTATAACACTTTCAAAGATGTATCGACTATATTGAACGTTCTTGTGATCTGATTTGATTTCTGTTTTATTTCAGAATCGAATGGAAGAAAGTAAAGCACTCTTCAAAACGATTATAACATATCCCTGGTTTCAACACTCTTCTGTTATTCTGTTTCTCAACAAGAAAGATTTACTAGAGGAAAAAATCATGTACTCTCATCTCGTCGACTACTTTCCGGAATATGATGGTAAGTTGTGATATTAAAAAGCATCCTCTTTTCTCTCTAGAATCGATACGCAGATATTATCGTTACCCGTTTAATATTAAATGCTAGATATCCGGTCTCGTAATCAATCAAACTAGATTTTTAATTTTAAAAAGTGAAAATTATGGAGAAACACAATAAGCACAACTCAAATATTTATCAAACGATTGCAGATATATTTATAAACTGCAGTAACGCAGTATTTATTTTCGCCAAAACGATAAATAAATTGATGTTTAAATTAAAAGTTACTTCAAGGCACTTAAACTGCGTGGCGAAGCGCGACGAGATTATTTATCTCGACATCAGTAAATAAGTTCTGTGGTGTAGGCCCGAAACAGGACGACAAAGCGGCCAGGGAGTTCATCTTAAAGGTGTATCTGAATTGTAATCCCGATCCCGACCGAATGTGCTACTCTCACTTTACGTGTGCGACAGGTCTGTCTGAAGTACCGAGTGTGTCCCGAGCAAAAGACTAGTAGTGATCCTTAGTAGTGATTTGTCGAACGTGATTCGTTACGTGTTACTCTTATTATATGCTTTGTTGTAATTTTGCTGCTTCGATATACATATATATATATATATATATCAAAAACCCGCGTAATCAAATCTTGATTAGCAGTAATCTATTTCGATGCATACAACACGTTTCCTCTGCGCGTTAATTTATGATAATCAGTAGCACGCAATACATTGATATAGAATTAACTCGTTCGTAGATTGAGATGATAGTTATATAATGTTTCGTAATAAACGGAAAACGCTCGTCGAATCTTGCGCCGTAATTTAAGTAATTTTATATACTCTATTATTGTTATTCACATCATTGAAATTTATATATCCGCGATCGAGGAGAAATTTTCGAATTTTATCTTGAAACGTGTAATAAGTTATATGCAAGCAGCTGTTTCAGATTTGTGAAATTATGCTCGGTACCTTATATAAGCCGTCTAGCTTATTAATGGGGCTTTCGAGAGGCTTCTTTGATGTTCACTATGACTAATTCAATAAGCTGTCCTTGGAGAGAGCGTATATTGGATTTGAGCAAAGTACAACATTATTCCATTAAAATAGATCGATATTCGTCTGCATTTCGCGCGTTATCCTTTGCGAAAGCCAATGGTCCTTGATTCACACGTTGCAACGTTCCCTTCGAATGCGAAATTTTCATTCATCTAGTAAAATAGATACTTTACAGAAATATATCATAAGAGAACGGACGAGTTTCCTTGGCTAGACTCCAGCTCGTAGTATTTACACCTGGCGACTTTTCAACGATGCGTAGCAATTAATGATCATTCCGCGATTAAGCGATCGCTAGAAAAAAGAAAGAAAAGAAGCTGATATCTACCTGCTTTGTAAATGAACGAAAGTAATGCCATGCCTCCCTCTCGCTTGTATATTTCGCAGGTCCGCAGAGAGACGCCATAGCAGCTAGAGAATTCATTCTGAGGATGTTCGTTGAGTTAAACCCGGACAGTGAGAAGATTATTTATTCCCACTTTACGTGTGCCACAGGTAGGCTAGAAACTCTCTGTAGCTCCCGTGTGTACAAAAATATCGTATACTTCTCTCTCGCTTTATAACAGTTCTTCCATGTGTTGTGTCTTGTACAGAGCTTGTATGTTGCCTGCCTCCCGTATGATCAGGTGTGTGTAATCAAATGTTATAAACGCGCGCCACGGAAAAATCAACCTACGTACATATTATTATCTGTCAAAGCTCTTTTCTCTTTTTTTTGGTAAACACATATGTTCCGTATACATGTATATTTATTAATGCATAGGAGATTGCACGAAAACAAAAGGATCAGTTGGGTGAACTAATCTAATTAGACAAATATAACTCTGATTATACATATTATTATTCATAAAAAAACAAGAGTAAATGCAGAGAAATAAGAAAAATATTTCAAATTTATTTAATATACTTATACACAGAATTTATAAATTTTTTCACAATTATAGGTTGATTTTTCGAAGGCTTAATGCGGTGCTAATCAATCTCAATCTTTCGATTTATATTTTGCATGCTGCGGTTGTGGATAATTAACCATCAGATACGGAAAACATCAAGCTTGTGTTCTGCGCTGTTAAGGATACGATCATGCAAACCGCGCTTAAGGAGTTTAATCTTGCTTAACGCGATCACACGGATTGTATAGATATTATCAAATGTGTGCGTAGACTTCTGACGATGCAATTTGATATTTGAACGCCGACAGTGATGTAGATCTGCGCCACATAAGTCTGTTGATGATTTAGCACGATAACTCGAGTGCTAGAAGTAATTAAATATAGCATACCGATTAATCGGCAGATACTATTGCAAGAAACGAGTTGGTAATTTCCTGAAAATGTTGTTATATATATGTATGCTGATCTATCTTCTATAAAACTTAATCTGTGTGGCTTAGCTCTGTCTCGCTCTCGGCGATTCGTCTAAATATTTAAAATGCCATATGAATACTTATGACTGGTTTACCTTTTTGACTGCCAGCTTTAACCGTTGATGACAACATATATTACAATATATGTTAGGTAAAAGATATATATATATATTAACAGGACCTTGTAACCTAAATAAAATGAACATAGCAATTGACGTTCGCTCTAATAATTAATAGCGTTGCTTAATATGCCTTTATAACAAACAAAGGCTTCTTTCGATTATATTTTTATTGCGTTCGCTATATTATATCGTAGTCTGACGAAAATAGAATATTCCATCATTTGTGGCTAAAGTTGTGCATTCATTTATAATTCTTCTTGCAAGAAAATAATACGTTTACGATGATTGTAATTCATATTTTGATTAATTTTCGTGTGATTTATAAAAGAAAGTAGTTTTCTTCTTTTTATATGTAAGTATTTTAATGATGTAAACTAAAATAATTCACCCTTAAAATGCGAATTGTTTTAAATATTACTTATAAAAAATACTGCAACATCTCTTCGGATTTTTTGCATTATTAATTTTTGAGTTAATTCGCTAAGCTTCTCTAAAATAAGCATCGAAAAAGAAACTGTAAACTATTTGTATAGACTTTATGTACGTTTATGGTTTCTTTCTCATGTATTCTTCTTCGCTATAAAAAGTATTTCAAAGGGAATTGCATGCTGCATGTGTGTTATACGACTGTTCAGGAATTGAAGCTTCTTGTTAGGGTAAGTTGACCTCCGTTTTGTGCTATATACTTTTGTGTCAATGTGTGTTTTTTTTTTTTTTTTTTTTTTTTTTAATATAGATAGAATATCGAAAAACTAATTCTATGTGGCATGTGTACTTGTAAAAAAAAAAAAAAATGATACACGCATAATACTTTACGTCATATATTGAAAAAATTGCATCCCATTTGGAAAAAGAGAACAATCATTCATAGCATGTGCCGAACGACGTTTTATGCAACTTGAAAAATCAGCGTTTCTCTTTAAACATTTATGAATATCTTTTATATTATATATAGAATATAAATGAAGAATATAATTCGGATCTCTAAGCACGTTTTGTTCCACAGATACGGAGAACATCAGATTCGTGTTCGCGGCGGTCAAGGATACCATCCTGCAGTCCAATCTGAAGGAGTACAACCTGGTTTAGACGGCGAGATCGACACGACGACCACAGTTTCTCTCGAATCCTGACCAAATCTATCAGTGTGTGAGACTGCAACTCCGTTGACTCGCGGATCCGAGAAAACGACGGAGATGCGCGAGACAAAAAAAATAAACGATACAGACTTGTGCGATCATGTGCACTCGAGCTTTGTCGTGCCGAGAGAGTGTGTTGTTTGTACCAACAAGTAGCTAGACACGCGTAAGACACGTTAATTATATGATGGACGTAAAAAAAGGGGAAAAAAAAGAGAGCGAACAAGGACCTAAAAGCGTCTCACGAGCGATTCTTTCTCTCTTTGAGAAGAAACGAAGAATATGATGAGGAGGGGAAAAAAAAGAAGGAAATAAAAGAGCAAAATCTCTCTTCACTGTCGATACCATGAAAAACTCGCGCGAGTCGATTCGGTTCTCTCGTACGCCGGTTCCCGTGTTTTGGGATTTGTTACCTTTCTTTTGTAGATTAATTCTTAGTCGATATATATATATATATATATATATATATATATATATATATATATATATACTATATTGCGCGCGCGAATGCGCCTCCCCCTTTTCCCCGTTTCTCGGGCCGGGGAATAACGATAACCGGGGGCCCCGGGCATGTCGTTGTCTGACTTTTATATAATATATGAAAATTCGCGTACGAACGCGAAGGGCGAACGTGTCTCACGCGCGCATTTTTCACGACGCGTCTGCCTGTGTTGTTCGTCTCTCGAGTCCAAGAGATCTCAGCGGAGAGGAAGAAAACTGAAGAGGCGAGGCGAAGCGAAGCGAGCGAACGAAAGAAAGAAAGAAAAAACGGGCTTTATAATCGCGAACTAGATTCGATGACACAAGTGAGAGCAATTCTAGTGCCATTTACTAGTATGGTGTTGTATTTTTTTCTTTTTCTTTTTGTCCTTCCTTTCTGTTTTCTTCTTCTTTTCTTCTTCCATTTTTAAAAAAATCTTACTAAATGCTAAATTGCGAGAATGTCTTCTGTTTAGAGTCTTACGTGAAGGCCAAAGCGTTTCTGTTTCTTCCTTTTATATCCGTACCAGAAATGCCTCAAAGTTTTTCTGCATGTGACTCTCGAATCTTAAAAAAATTCATCATATAAATATTGTTATATATAATATATAAAGAATGAAATATAGATTATATATAGAGCGCGAGAGAGAGAGAGAGAGAGAGAGAGAAGAAAAATGAGAAGAAAGAATGGATACCAGCAACAGTAATGGAGTGAAAAGAGAGAGGTAGAGAAAAGAAAATGAGAAAGAAGGTGAGAACGAATGCGAAAGGGAGAGCTTATGCGTGTGTGATAAAATGAAGAAGAAAGTTCGTGTTTGCGGAAGCGAAAGATACTGCGGGAAACTGCGTCTGTTCGATGTGACCTAGGTAATTAAGGGGCGCGGGAGGAGCTCGCAGATATCTCTCTCTGCCGTCTCCTCTCTCTGCCGGCTGTGCGTCCAGGTTGCGCGAGGGGAGCTGAGTCCTTGAACTGCGTGCGAATCCCTCCAGTACGATTTTCCTCGACTCGCGTAGACGAATTACATTAATTCTTCGAGAATGAGAAATTTCGACTTGTAAATAACCCAGCAAACACAGTATATAAATGTTATATACTTAAGCATGTTACATGTAACGTATATGTTAGTTGTAATTTCCCACTCATAGATGTAATATTTTTAATATTACATATATTACATTGTAGTTATATTGTCATTATATCCCAAGATAGCACTGACTTGTCAATACATCAATGTGCTATTTGGTATATAATTACAATATAACTACAATGTAATATATGTTATATTGAAATGTCACATCTATGAGTGGGGAAATTACAACCTAACATGGATGTTACATGTAACGTACGCGTTATATTACCTGTTCTATTTCGTTTTATTATAGCAACGTAACAATTGTATATCGGTGTTTGCTGGGAAGCGACAGATTCCTAAGAAACGAGAGAAATTCTGACTTGCAAGGATCGCACAATTCCTCAGCAACGACGAATTTCTCTGAAGAACATGAAGATCCCGGTGACGTCTCTCGAATTTGCAAGGAATCGAGTTCTTGGAAGAAAGAAAAAAAAAAGAAGAATCTCTTACATCGCGAGGGCGGAATTTCTCGGGAGCAGCAGATGATGGAGGAGTTCGTCGCGGTTCTCCCTTCGTCTGGCCCTCGTCCTCTTACACGGCGGCACAGTCACCGCGTGCAGCCAGGGCCATAGGTCCCCCCTCTCTCCCTTTAAAGAGGGGGGCTTCATGTCCCTCGCTCGCCCCGTATCCACATTATACAGTGTACGTACATATAAACTGCTCACTGCCTGCGCTCGCTCATATGCCGGCTAGCGCGCTGCCCGTTGCTCGTACTCTCTGAGTTCGATCATTCTAATTCACTTGGAAGTCGCGGTTCGCGTCATCCTCTTCCCTCTTTCCCGATGACGTATGCTGAACCACGAATAAAAGAAAGTCTAATAATAAATTATAACAATGCGAAATTAAAAGAAAATTCTACAAATTGCTGCAATAAAGTATGTTTGAAAGATGAAATTCTAAAAAATTGAGATTAATTTCTTTCTTCATTGAGGAAGACGCGAAAAAGAGAAATGTCATAAACACACGTGTACGTCATCGGTGGAGAGGAACGAAGGAATCTCTCCTAAGTTCCCAAGTAGCAAATTGACGTCTAATGACACCTCATTCAGCGTCGAAATGACATACGTTTGCTACCTGGATTGTTCGACTCGTGCGAGAGAAGGAGGCTTCTTCGATGAAGAAAAAGAGATTGGACCTGCCAGCTTCTACGAAACGCGAAGCGTCGTGCGAGACTCGCTCACCAGGGGTCGGGAAGGATCATTAGATGTAATTAGGAGATGTATGCGCGATGACGAGAGCCACGCGCGAACCAGGAGAGTACGTCGCGCCAATAGAGACGACCCTCTCTACGCGGCGTCGGCCGAAATCGGAAGAATTTTTTTTTTTTTTTTTTTTTTTTCCTTTTTTCTTTTGCGTTCCAACACGAATGTGCGCAGCATCCCAAATATGTCATCCCCGATTCCGTCGGTGCCGCGCACGCACCGCACATACACCGGGCAGCATGTGTCATATACCTTGGTTGTGTCACACCCACCTTGGTTGGAACACTGAGTTTATATATGAAAGAAAAAAAAGTATATATATAAATACATTGGATAATATATTATATATTAAGCGGATACCACGCAAGAAATAATATTGAATAATAATATTAATAATTATAATAATTATTATAATAATTATAATGATAAAATAATAATAATGATAGTAATAAAATAATAATTAATAATAGTAATACTGCTTGGTTTTCAGTGAGAGCGCGTGATTATATAAACGGATGATGGCAGAGAGGGAGGGAGAGATAACGCATGTGCAGGACACGAAATGTAAAACTATGCTAGTGAGAAAAAAAATGAATGAGAGAGAGAGAGAACGTATGTATGTGCATTTTCGTGTGTGCGTCTTCGTGCATATTTATGCGTATTTGTGCAATTGTATGGGCATATGCGCGTTTGCGTGTACATGTGTGAGAGAAGGATCGGCGGAGAAAACGAAGAAAAGGCGAGGGAGTGATTTTCAATGTGCGTGCGTGAGGACATTTTAAATGAGAGATGAAAGCAAAATTCAAAGAAAAGATCGGTTGCCGCGACACTTATAGGCTTTGTACAACCCTAATCGAGAAACCGGCGAGTGACGACGTGCAAGAGTCCCCCAAGGGGCTGTTAGGTTCATTTGTAAATCATCTCTCTTTTGTCAGGAGGCGCGTACACCACTTCCGAAAACATAAAATATGTTGGGTATTCTTTCTCTGTGTATAAAATTGTAAACACCTTACCAAGCCCAAAATCAATGTTTCTAACTTATTTATAATAAATAATATACATTAATGATAAAAATAAACACACACAGTTTGTGACAGTAGCATCGACGAGCGTGACGAAGAGAATTCATCCCTCAATAG